ACAAGCACTGATCGTCAGCAAACAGTAGTTCGTTTAATGTGGGTGAATAGATTACTTCTCCTGATGTGTGTACTTTCTCGTGATTATAAAGGTCTATGTTGTCTGTATCATAACTTGCTTCTTTAGATATTCTGTCTATATAGATGTTAAATAAAAGTGGGGAGAGCACACATCCCTGTCTCACACCTGTGTTGACTGTGAACATGTCTGATATGCCTTCTTGTGTTTTTACTGCACTTTGGCTTGTGTGTTACATGGCTATGATGTTCTCTAGTAACTGTCCTTGTACCCCGTAGTTCTCAAGAACAGACCACAGTTTGTTTCTTTCCACTCTATCAAAAGCTATTTCCTGATCTATAAACACAATATTCTGTTTGGTATTATACTCAATGGCTTTCTCACACACTTGCCTCAGAGTCAATAATGCATCTGTGCATCCTCTGCCCTTTCTGAAACCGAATTGTAATGCACTCAGCTGTTGTTCTGCTATGGGTCTAACTCTCTGTTCTAGTAATTTGGCGTACATTTTTCCTACGTGACTCAGTAGTGATATACCTCTGTATGCTTCACATTCTCTCCTATTACCTTTCTTTTTCCATATCGGTACTGTTAATGCCTGTTGCCACTCAGCTGGGACCTTTCTTTCTTCCCAAGCTATATTAAACATTCTAGTAAGCCATTTAACACCCACTTCTACGCAGGCTTGAATCCCTTCTGTATTAATTCCATCCAGACCTGGTGCCTTGTTTCTAGGGCTATTCTGTATAACTGCTCTTACTTCCACTGCTATGAAATTTGGTTCCTCTTGCTCGCAGCTTTGAGGTACAAAGTTAAAATTATTTACGTTGCCTGTGGGCTGAGAAGTTCTTGAAAATACTCTGCCCATCTTGCCAACCTCTGTTGTGGACTAAACAGAGGTATTCCTCTCTTGTTGTTGATGATAACAGTACAGTTCTGTAACAGTATACTGAGTGTAAAAGACTACTGAATCAGTACACTGGGTGTAACAGGCTACTGTAACTGTACACTGGGTGTAACAGACTACTGTAACAGTACACTGGGTGTAACAGACTTCTGTAACAGTACACTGAGTGTAACAGACAACTGAATCAGTACACTGGGTGTAACAGACTACTGCAACAGTACACTGGGTGTAACAGACTACTGAAACAGTACACTGAGTGTAACAGACTACTGAAACAGTACACTGGGTGTAACAGATTACTGAAACAGTACACTGAGTGTAACAGACTACTGAAACAGTACACTGAGTGTAACAGACTACTGAAACAGTACACTGAGTGTAACAGACTACTGCAACAGTACACTGAGTGTAACAGACTACTGAAACAGTACACTGAGTGTAACAGACTACTGAAACAGTACACTGGGTGTAACAGACTACTGAAACAGTACACTGGGTGTAACAGACTACTGCAACAGTACACTGGGTGTAACAGACTACTGAAACAGTACACTGAGTGTAACAGACTACTGAAACAGTACACTGGGTGTAACAGACCGCTGAAACAGTACACTGGGTGTAACAGACTACTGCAACAGTACACTGAGTGTAACAGACTACTGAAACAGTACACTGAGTGTAACAGACTACTGAAACAGTACACTGGGTGTAACAGACTACTGAAACAGTACACTGAGTGTAACAGACTACTGAAACAGTACACTGGGTGTAACAGACCGCTGAAACAGTACACTGAGTGTAACAGACCGCTGAAACAGTACACTGGGTGTAACAGACTACTGAAACAGTACACTGAGTGTAACAGACTACTGAAACAGTACACTGGGTGTAACAGACCGCTGAAACAGTACACTGGGTGTAACAGACTACTGCAACAGTACACTGGGTGTAACAGACTACTGAAACAGTACACTGAGTGTAACAGACTACTGAAACAGTACACTGGGTGTAACAGATTACTGAAACAGTACACTGAGTGTAACAGACTACTGAAACAGTACACTGAGTGTAACAGACTACTGAAACAGTACACTGGGTGTAACAGACCGCTGAAACAGTACACTGGGTGTAACAGACTACTGAAACAGTACACTGAGTGTAACAGACTACTGCAACAGTACACTGGGTGTAACAGACTACTGAAACAGTACACTGAGTGTAACAGACTACTGAAACAGTACACTGGGTGTAACAGATTACTGAAACAGTACACTGGGTGTAACAGACTACTGTAACAGTACACTGGGTGTAACAGACTACTGAAACAGTACACTGGGTGTAACAGACTACTGTAACAGTACACTGGGTGTAACAGACTACTGCGGCACTATCTAGTCTTCCACACCCCCCAAGCTTAATCAGGTGCGCCTTAACAAAAAAGGGTAATAAGTAGGGCTGTACCGAATACGAATAGCGGGACCAACTATTCGGCCAGAAATGAATAGGAACAGTGTATCATCATCATCAGGTGCCTTGCCGACTGGCGTGGGCGAGTATGCCTTGCCACAATCTGCGATCTCCTGCAGCATGTGTTAGTTCGTGTGTTGACACACCTCCATGCCATGCAACAAGACTGTCAAGAATCTTCTCTCGTTGTCTTCCTTTATCCCTCCTTCCACAGATCTTTCCAGTGGTCACCCCATGTTCCATTTTTCTTCTTCCATAACATGGCCAAAAAATTATTATTGTCTCTTTCTGATGTCTGTGATTAGTTGTCTTTGGGCTCCCGCAACTTTCAAAACCTCTTAGTTGCTTGTTTTGGCTGTCCATGGTATTTTAAGCATTGTTCTGTAAAACCACATCTCTGAGGCCTCGAGAAATTGTTTGGCCTGCCTACCGATTGTCCAGGACTCACAACGCATTGCCTTTAAATACAAGTACTTACTTGATGAGGCTAACAGTGACTATTGTACAGACCACATTTTCCACTTTAAAATTTTAGCCAAAATGTAATCACAACCTTACTTATCCACTGCACCTTTACGAATACAGATGGAGGATCAGTCGCACCTCGAGATAAATACAAAGAAAATTTTGTAGCACGCTGCGGTTGGCATTTTATGCAGTATTATATACTTTGAGTGTGAAACAAGGAAAAAACTCTTTTTGACAGTGGCGAGGAAAGACAATTTAAAGTTTTTACTTTTAAGTATCTTCATGCTTTCTTTAATGATATCACAATGTATAGCTGACTTTTTTTTTTTTTTCGCCGTGGCACCCCTGGCATACGCAACCAGTTTGAGAACCTCTGCTGTAATGCCTTGGTCCAGTCAGCAGGCAAAGACTTTTCCAGCTGCTGTACCAGGCAACCAGGTCACAGTTTCCCCCGCTACGACAGACTTAGGCAACAGCAACTATTGTGTTAATGAGAGAGTTTTTTCAGTCCATCGCAGTGTATGCAAAAAGGGTGTAAGGTAACCACTATTCATATTTGGCCCG